GGTTAATGAGGGAATATAGGGGGACATCTGTAATACTTTCAACAATAAAGATACATTTAAAAAAAATAAAAAATAAATAAATTACGTAAAAATATAATTTCTCTCTGCCTGCCCCCCATCTCTTGCTCCTTTTGAGAACATTTCCCGTATTTTTTATTTTACTTTATACTTCACCTGTAACTAAAGTTTAATTGTAGCTTATATTTCATTCTTCGTCATTCTTTGTATGTGTGCCATTTATCTACTAAAGATTAAGTAGGGGTTTAAAGGCATCTTGCTTATAAAGCAAATATCAACCTTTAACCCTTGTGACTGTACAGATTTTCGGGGATACTCTCTCATCAGGAATTGGAAATTCCAGTGGCAATGTCTGGGTCCCTTCCACGTGGCTTGTGTCTCCATCCATAATTCCTGAGTCTTCTTCCCCTCGGGCTGTTTGATGATAAACCATCCCTCTGATGAGGAACAATAAGAGACAGTGTTTACCGCCCTGTCTTCAGAGGCTGAGTCGGTAGCAGAGGGTGACCCATGGACATTTCCAAGATCCGCAATCTCTCCTCCACTTACTCCTGCCTCCCCCAGCAAAGGCTCGTTGCCTTCGTTCATAGTCACGGGAGTTTCTGGTTCTGGTCATTTACCATGTATGTAAACATTTGGCCTTGTGGCTGGCATGCACGTAGGTCTTTGGTTCACCTGATTTCTTTGTATACTTGGTCTTCTAGGCAGGTACGTTATAACATAACTAAGAAAAAGAACTAGTCTGGAGTGTTATGAACATGCTGTCAGTTCAGTCGATAATGTTCTAGATGGTTCCCTCGCCATCGATCGACCTGAAGCAGAAGCGCTGCCTTTCAGGTGCACATTTACGTGGATGCGGTGATCAACCACATGTGCGGCAACGGCGTGAGCCCGGGGACCAGCAGCACGTGTGGGAGTTTCTTCAACCCTGGCAGCCGGGACTTCCCCTCCGTCCCGTTCTCGGCCTGGGATTTCAACGATGGTAAATGTAGAACTGCAAGTGGGGACATCGAGAACTACAATGACGCTTACCAGGTAATTAGGAGCTCCACCGCGATCTGAACAAAGAGCTCTCTGTCTGCCCTTCTCTGCGAACAGCTTGTTCATCTCCACTGAAGTGCTACCTTAACTTCCTTAAGAAAACAGGGCTCCAGGTCTGATTGGACAAAAATAAAACAACTCAAAGCAATAGGTACCACACTTTCTCCAAGTTACTGATTCCCAATTAAAAAGCTCAGCCACTTCATTTCCTTCATGCTCCGTTTTTACACCAGGAAGTACCTCCAAGGTATGTCCCGACCAGAGTGTCCATGTCCCCAGTGCCCAAGGCGAAGACGATGCTATAGAGATACCTATTGATGAACAAATGAGTGACTGGCCACATGGATGCTCAGTTGGACAGCATGTCCTATGCATCAGTCATGAACTTTCTACCTCCACAGGTCAGAGACTGTCGCCTGGTCGGTCTTCTTGACCTCGCCCTGGAGAAAGACTACGTGCGCTCCAAGGTGGCCGAGTACATGAACCACCTCATTGACATCGGGGTGGCGGGCTTCAGAATCGACGCCTCCAAGCACATGTGGCCCGGAGACATGAAGGCGATTCTGGACAAACTGCAGCCTCTGAACACAACCTGGTTCCCTGAAGGAAGTAAACCTTTCATTTACCAGGAGGTGCGTTGAGACGTGTGTGTGCACATACAATGTAGCCTAATTCATCAGAAAATGAGTGACATATTTCATTAAAATATAATTTCTGTAGGTTAGTAACTAAATCATCCACACAGAACAGGAATCAGTTGTAGAGGACAGTGTTCTTTTTTTTAATATATATTTTTTATTGATTTCAAAGAGGAAGGGACAGGGAGAGATAGCAACATCAATGATGAGAATCATCAGCCAGCTGCCTCCTGCACATCCCCTGCTGGGGATCAAGCCTGCAATCTGGGCATGTGCCCTGAGCGGGAATTGAACTGTGACTTCCGGGTTCATAGGTCAACACTCAACCACTGAACCACACCAGGCAGGCGAGGACAGTGTCTTTAACCTCCTTTTGTTCAGAGGCCCTTCTTCGTCGAACTCTCTAAGTCTTGATCACAAGGGGTTTTAAGGAAGAGCAGAGATTCCGTTTAGGCTGCAAGCACCTCTTTGTAATGGACCGTCTCCCATCAGAGACCATCAGAGAAGACGGGCCATAGTCTGGTTGTCCTGAGCCAGGCTGCGAGAGGTTAAGGCTTGTCTGTAGCACTAGGAGCTGTGTTCTTTCAGGCACATTGATTAACCTCCCTGTGCTGCAGTTTCTTCACGTGAGGAAAAGGTCATAGTGATGTCTTTGTTGTCAGGAAGTTAGGTGAGTTAGTACTTATCAGGCACTTAGAAATGCTGTTGGCCAGATAGTGATTGCTCTGTGAGGGTATCTGTTTACATGGAAGACTCCATTAGATGCGGGTTTTCACAGGACAGCAGGCCACCTTGTCTAGTCACTTTTAATATTGTAGTAAATACCGTAACAACAAAAATGAGAATCTTGGTATAAGGAGCATCATCTGGGGCATGTCAAGTAACATTGTTTAAAACCACTTTAAAAAATATTTTTATTGATTTCAAAGAGGAAGGGAGAGGGAGAGATAGAAACATCAATGATGAGAGAGAATCATTGATGGGCTGCCTCCTGCACGCCCTACACTGGGGATCAAGCCCGCAACCTGGGCATGTGCCCTGGCCAGGAATCCAACTGTAACCTCCTGGTTCATAGGTCAACGCCCAACCACTGAGACATGCCAGGTGGGCTAAAGCCATTTTCTATATGACATTCACTTGTTGGTTAAAAGTATAACCTAAAATGGCATTTCCCCCTACATTTCTTCTACTTGAATAATTCTTCCAGGTAATCGATCTGGGTGGTGAGCCCATTAAGAGCAGTGACTACTTCGACAATGGCCGCGTGACAGAGTTCAAGTACGGTGCCAAACTGGGCACAGTGCTGCGCAAGTGGCATGGGGAGAAGATGGCCTATCTGAGGTGAGTGGCACACGCCTGGTTCTTGGATTCACTTTACAGACTGATTACATATCACACTATGCCGATAGGAGTTATCTTCTGAAGGCCTTATGTAGACCCTGGCGAGGATTCAGTTACCACAGCCAGTGTCTCGCTCCCCAGACTCGAATGGGTCATGTTTATTGTATAGAATGTCAGTCCCAGGACGTATGTCTAGAAAGCCATCCCCTGGGGCTTCTCATCTGTGGCTTATATCAGGCTCCTAAGCCGACGGCCGGCACTGACCTGGGAAGTCCAGGTTGTTACTAGAATGGTCTGTCGGTGAGAAAGTCCCTGCAATGTGGCCATGCTGTGCCATTCACGAGCCTCCTCTCAAATGGTTTCACGTTTTAAAATGTCTGTATTGTAAACGCAAACATGGAAACCTTCTTTTAAACCCGTTTGCCATTCTGTATGCGATGGGCGTTGATCCTTCTGAAGTCCATCTCCATCATCATCCCTAAGACTTCCAAAGGGATTTTATAAATTACAGAAATACCGGTAACGTGAATGCAGTACACGTAATTTGTGCGCATATACACACATAGAGTGTATTCATAGATAACACAGCTATATCTACATAGACTGTATACAGGGGCAGGCAAAAGTAGGTTTATGGTTGTGAGTTTATTCCCCTATTACTGATATATTAGTTGTTGTATTATTTATTTGTATGATTTCTATATGAACAGCTGTAGCCCTACTCTTGCCCACCCCTGTATATATAAACCTTACACAAAAATCCTTTCAGTGAGAGAATTTCATTATATATTGAAAGAAACACACATGTAAGTTACTCTATGGTGTGTGTGTGTGTGTGTGTACCCACAGGAACTGGGGAGAAGGCTGGGGCTTCATGCCTTCCGACAGAGCCCTCGTCTTTGTGGACAACCACGACAACCAGCGGGGACACGGCGCTGGAGGCTCATCCATCCTTACCTTCTGGGACCCCAGGTGGGAACAGAGTTCTCCATTTGGTCTCCCCCTACCTTTTAACAACACTGAAAACATTACTTTCTTTTACGATGGTATCGTTTTGTAACTTCCAGACTCTACAAAATGGGAGTGGCATTTATGCTCGCCCATCCATATGGGTTCACACGAGTCATGTCAAGCTTCCGTTGGCCAAGGTATTTTGTGAATGGAAAAGTAAGTGTTGGTGTCGTGCAACATACCTTTTTCTCAAGAAAAAGAGGGCAGCTTTGTTCTAAGTTTACCTGATGCTGTTACATTTATTATTTGTTTATCAACTCTTTACGTGTAAGCTGACCCAGGCCTCTTTTAGCAATGGAGTGGATATTAAAACACTAAAATTCATGGTCTCTGTTGTTAAACGGTATGCAAGCTATTTCTGAAACATGAGAAACATACCTCCTTACTTCCCCCAAACACTTGAACAAAAGGATACAGTGAGTATAATTGGTACCTCTTATAAGTACCTGCTACTACCTGGCTGGTATGTGGATTACAAATGAACATGTGTAAAGAACTTAAAACAGCACCTGTTCATAATTTAAGCAATATAAATACTGGTTAAATGTTTTTAAAAAATTGTATGGAAGGAAAAAAATATATAGTTGAATTGAGGTAAATAGGCAAACTATTTTATAAGAAGAAGGATCATATATGTATTAAAGAACAGAAATGTGCAGAGTATACTGGAAAAGGCAGATGAGAAAAAATTTGGTAAATTCACTCATCTAAGTAAATTTTTTTAAAAATATATTTTTATTTATTTCAGAGAGGAAGGGAGAGGGAGAGAGAGAAACATCAAGGGGGAAGGAGAATCCTTCCTGCATGCCCCTATTGGGGATCAAGCTTGCAACCCTGGCATGTGCCCTGATTGGAATCGAACTGTGACCTCCTGGTTCATAGGTTGAATGCGCAATTATTAAGCCACACCTGCCAGGCTTTAAAAAATGTTACCTTTGAAACATGGCACTAGAAAATGAGAATTCAGAGGGAAGGTGATGAGAACTTGGTGAAGGGCTGACAGCTACTGAAGGAGTTGGATTCTACATGAAGACACTCTAGAGACAAACAGGAGAGATTGGGTTTGGCATACTGGAGAAGGAAGAGGCAACACTGATATTTAAAATCTGAGCATTTTTTTATTCTTTTTGCTAATGAAGGATATTAATGATTGGGTTGGGCCACCAAATACTAATGGAGTAATTAAAGAAGTCACTATTAACCCAGACACCACCTGCGGCAACGACTGGGTCTGTGAGCATCGCTGGCGTCAAATCAGGTGGGGCCCTTATTCAGAGAGATCCTCTAATAATAAACTTGCTTAGCATTTTATGTGAAACTGTCGAAGAATGCACAGCAATCCTACTGTGTTTTGCTTTCAGGAACATGGTCATGTTCCGCAATGTGGTTGACGGTGAACTTTTTACCAACTGGTGGGATAATGGTAGCAACCAAGTAGCTTTTGGAAGAGGAAACAAAGGATTCATTATCTTTAACAATGATGACTGGTAAGTAGATATCAATCAGAAATTATACTTTATACTAACGTGCTCTGGGTTTATTCTTTCCTCTTGCTGCTCATTTACTTTTTCTTTAATGTCAGAAAAATTCTTTAGTCAGTGGATTAAATGAACCAGAAAAAAATGATGGTTCCTATTCTTTTGATCTCTTTGATCTCCTCTTGATGAGGGCTCTCTGTTCTCAGAAGAGCGGTGTTTGTGCACCTTGTATATCATGTGCAGGTACGAGGCACATTCTATGCGCCCACATCCACCCATATTAGTGTACAGGTTGTGAAATCACTAGATGAACATGTCGCTTGACCCCCTTTTATGTCAATGATGGGAGATGACTGCCTTGTACTGAAATACCTTTTTCTAGTTCTTTTTCTCAACTAGTCTTATATCTGGTTCTCTGGTCCTTTTCTTCACTTCCGGCTCTCCATGCCAATCATTTTCAAAGCATACGTGTATCTTAGGGTCAGCGATTCACCTGAGGGGAGTTGAATTTTACACTTGAGACAAGAGCATGCCTTAGACCTTTTTGCAAGCTGCTGAAATGTCTCCGTCCAAGGGCAACTTCTATTTATGCTCAGCTCATTCCAGCCTAAATTATATTCCACAGACAAAACAAAGAATCCAGCATATCTCTTCTTGTGTCTAGTCCTTTAGTTTCTGTCTTTTGTGGATGGGAGAAGCAAAATAAATGTATGTGACAGCTTCTATTTAAAGCCATATACTCCTTCAAAGGAATGCTAGATTATTTTTTATCTCCAGCCCAAATTCATTTTGGCCTCTTGAAAAAAAGAGATTTTTTGGAAAACATAATCAAATTAAAATTTTTGAAAGTAATTTGTATTTCTTTAAGTTCAGATGAGGACATATTTTAAATATTTGTGTACCACAGGAAGTACTTTTTCAAAATATATATTTTGGTTGATTTCAGAGAGGAAGGGAGAGGGAGAGAGAGAGAGAGAAATATCAATGGTGAGAGAGAATTATTGATCTGCCTCCTCACACACCCCTTACTGGAGATTGAGCCCGAAGCGGGGCATGTGCCCTGACCAGGAATCAAATCTTGACCTCCTGGTTCATAGGTCGATGCTCAACCACTGAGCCACGCCGGCCGGGCACCTCAGGAAGTACTCTTACCTGAGGGGGCCTGTACAACTCAAATCCTCACCTACAGTCCTCACCCGTCATGTTTGGTGGTATTTCCTGTTGACCAGGAAGTTGCTCCGTCTCCTAGAGGATTACTCTGTCCCTGAGAAAACTCATCCCACGGAGAGGTCTCTGTGTTGGAGTCTCTTCTCCCCGAGACCTGACTGTGTGTTGTCCGTGGCATGAAGGGCAGCCGCTCATTTCAGAGGTCATCTGCGTCCTTGCTTTTCATTGTGTGGAACTCAAGTGACATCTTTACGTTTCTGTCACAGGCCATTGTCTTCCTATTTGCAAACGGGTCTTCCTGCTGGCACCTACTGCGATGTCATTTCTGGAGATAAAATTGGCGACAAGTGTACAGGAATCAAAATCTACGTCTCTGCTGACGGCAAAGCTCACTTCTCTATCAGTAACAATGCCGAAGATCCATTTATTGCAATCCATGCGGAATCTAAGTTATAAGATTTGAATTAAATACATATGACCCCAGAGAAATAACCACGTGTATTTCTTTTTTTTGTACATATATAAATTCTTGTCACTCATTAATTTTTTTTGTAAAAGCTATAATAAGTAACCAACTTGAAATCTAAGAAAAGCATAAACACTCACATAATTATACAATTATAAGATAATTACAATCCACAGTTTTATTTTAGAAGACTCACATTAGCCTATTTGTCAGGGTTGGGGGTCTAGGTGAAAATGGTAAAGGGATTACCCCCCGCAAAAAAAACACACAAAACAACAACAAAAAACCCCAAAACTCGTAGACTCAGACAACAGTATGTGATTACCAGAGAGAAAGGAGAAAGGGCGGTATAGTAGAGGGTAAAGGGGTATAAATGGTGATGGAAGGAGACTTGACTTTGGGTGGTGAACACACAATTCAATATACAGATGGTGTACTATAGAAGTGTACACCTAAAACCTATATAATTTTATTAACCAACTACAGGCCCGGTGCACGAGATTCATGCAGTGGGGTGGGGGGGTCCCTCAGCCAGACTGTGCCCTCTCGCAGTCCAGGACCTCTCGGGGGATACCCACTGGCAGTCAGACACACCTCTCACAGTCTGGGACCCCTTGCTCCTTACTGCCACCTGCAGCGGAGGTGGAGAGGCTCCCGCCACTGCTGCTGCACTTGCCAGCCGTGAGCCCAGCTTCTGGCTGAGCGGGTCTCCCCCTGTGGGAGCACACTGACCACCAGGGGGCAGCTCCTGCATTGAGCGTCTGCCCCCTGGTTGCCAGTGCACATCATAGTGACCGGTGTTCTGCTGTTCGGTCAATTTGCATATTAGGCTTTTATTCTATAGGATGTCACCCCAATAAATTCAATAAACATTTTAAAAAAGAAATTTCTAAAAACCCAGATAGGCATCTTAATGAACACCTTTGTTGATAGTAATGCCCGTTGCCCAGCAATGGTTCATTGATGTATTGCTTGTATTTATTTCTCCCCTACAGTGTTTCTAGCAGTTAGTTAGGGATAGCTGATTTAAAGATGAAGCCTGTAAAAGTTCATAACATTTGGGTGCTTTCAACAATATGAAAGCCCCTTTGCAGTTAATAAGTTAAAACATAAACTTAAATTGTGCAGTCTGTAATTCTTAGTTGTCTAGAGCTCACAGGAATCTTTGCCTCTACATCCTTTCCCCCTTTTCGTTCTCTTTCCAATGGCTTTAGCCTGATGTTGTCGGGCTTTCTGTTCTGCCTCTTAGCGCCCAGTGTGGATGGATGTTTATTCAGTGCTTTCTTGACACCAGATACTCCAGGTTTTCCTCCTGATTGTCTAGTTATTCATTCTCCTCCACCTTGACTTGAAATGGACTTTAAATGTGGGACTTGTTAAGGCTCTCATCTAGGCCTTTTTATAGCTCAGTTATTTTTCTTATGGAAACATATGAGGAAATAGAAGCCCCAACTCCGAAACCCTCTTCTTTTACCTACAAATATATCTATTCCTTGCCCCGATCACGTTCCTCTTACCGCCTGTCATAATGAGGAAAATGCGCCTCCTTCTACCATTCTACCACTTGAGTTAATAACACCATGCCATTCCAGTTTTATCCTTCCGAGGACTTTGTTTCATAGATGGTTTTCCTCTTCTGCTCTAACAGTCTTTTCCATTTTGCTAGATATAGTCCCTTCATACGACACGTAGTAGAGTCTTCCAGACAAAAAATTCACAACTCCCATTTACTTGCTCCCCTTCCTAGTCATTTTTTGGGGTTTGTTTTCATCACAAAGTGACAACGTTTCAGTGGTTTTAACCAGTCATTTTTCATCTCTTGACTGTCCAGTTTCTAGTATCATCACTTTATTGAATCTTCTCTCATCAACATCATCAAAAACATTTATGTGACGAATCCAATGTACGTCTCTACCATTGTCTTGTCTCACTTCGCACCAGCTTTCAAAATGCTGAGCCACACTGCTTCCTCGGCTCCTTCGGCATCTGCGCTTCTTTTGTCTCCCACTTTCCCTTTTCTCTCACTGCTCTTTTTTCACACATTTTTACGGGCTCATCTTCCGTTTGACCTAAGGCTCACACAGATGTATATTTGTACTGTTTTACTCCCTCAGTGTATTGGACCTTTAGCCTCAGGCAGTGTTTGGCACATATTATGTAAGAGCTCAATGCTTGTTTGTAAAATAAATTGAGGTCATGAGAGGAAGAAAAGAAAAAGATATCATTTTTGAAGACAGATTTATTAGTAAAGATATGGTCTTAGAGTAGAGATATTCTTTTTATTCTCTCTCCCATTCTTCCCAAGTTTAATGATTCCTGGTTAACCCTGATTTCTCAGATCATAAATGTCATGGGATCTCAATAGAAATGAAAAAGGTATTTGATGAAATTTAACAACCTTTCATGGTAAAAACGCTCAATAAATTTGATATAGAAGGAATGTGTCTCAGAATAGTACAGGTCATTATGACAAGCCCACAGCTAACGCTATATTTAATGGTGAAAAGCTGAAAGTTCTTCCTCTAAGATTAGGAGCATGACAAGTGTCCCTTCATTCACCACTTCTACTTACCACAATACTGGAAATTCTAGCAAGATCAATTAGGCAAGACAACGCAATAAAAGGCACCCAAATCAGAATGGGAGAAGTAAAATTGTCTCTGGTTCCAGATGACATGATCTCATAATGGAAATTCCTAAAGTCTCCACCAAAAGAGTGTTATAACTACTAATAATAAAATTCAGGTTAAGCAGCAAGATACAAAATCAACATGCAAAAGTCAGTTGTGTTTCTGTACACTAACAATGAACTATCCGAATAAGAAATTCAGAAAGCAATCCCACTCACTATAGTATAATAAAATAAAAATACTGAGGAATAAATTTAACCAAAGAGGTGAAAGATTTATACACTGAAACTGTAAGACACTCATCACAGAAATTGAAGAAGACACAAGTAAATGGAAAGGTATCATGTGTTCTTGCATTGGAAGAATTAATATTATTAAAAATATCCACACTATCCAAAATGATCCAGGATTCAATATGGTCCCTATTAAAATCCAGTGGCATTTTTCACAGAAATAGAAAAAAAAATCCTAAAATTCTATGGAACCAAAAAAGATCCAGAATAGTCAAAGCAAACTTGAGAAAGACAGACAAAACTAGAGACATCACACTGCCTTGTTTCAAACTATATAACAAAGCTTTTGTCTTCAATAAAAAACTAGATATAAAGGGGGAAATCTAGATATCTTAAATGTAGCATACAATTTGTTGCAGAAAAATCACAAGGTTTTAGAAGAAATCATGTAAGAACTCTAATTAAAAAAACACACAATACTTTGAAAAAAACAGAAGAAAAGTGATATACTAAAATACCTTTAAAGGTCTTTCACAAGAAATTGAACAGATGGGCAAATACAGCCTGTTTGCTCTTTTTGTCCTTGAACATAAATTCTGGGAAAAGAAAAAAAGAGAGAAGTGTGGCTCAGGGCCACTTACATAATCTGTTTTTAGGTAGAACTCGGTGTGCTGAAAGGATTTGGGTACAAAGAGCACCACTTACGCTAGAGTAAAAGGTGATATTTATTATTTCCCTATAATTGCATATCTGCCAAGACCAGCTCACTATTTTCCTCTACTTTTAAAGACATTTTCTAGTCAAGAAACAATGATATTTTCATGATCAATTCAATCCATGGCCTTTTTTGGAGCACCTCTCCGCACCTCAGTTTCCTCAGGTGTAAAATGAAAATGACAATTCCTTTTCAGTTTGGTGTATTAAGTGAGAAAATGTGTATATAACATACTAACTGCTGTTGCTGGTTACATCCATACTTCACTTCCTCAGTCAAGATGTGTCTCTTACCCTAATGCTGAGGGCTAGCAATTCAATATTTCTCCTAAGAACCACAACGTCTTGGGCCTGGAGCAGAAGGCAACAGTCTACTGTAATTTGAAATCTTGCCAGGTTCAACCTGTGTGCCATTCGCTGAAAGTTAACAGAAAACCCCACTTAGCCATGGCCAGTGTGTTCAGTGGTTAGAGCATCTGCCTGTGCAAAGAAGGGTCACAGGTTCAATTCCTGGTCAAAGGCATGTACCTGGGTTGCAGGTTTGATCCCCACCCCCAGTCTGGGCAGGTTCCTTGAGTCTCTCTCACATTGATGTTTCTCTGTTTCTCTCTATCTCTCTGTCTTCCTCAAATCAATAAAAACATATCCTTGGCTGAGGATTAAAAAAAGGAAAAAGAAAATTCCTCTTGGCTTCAGTGTTTCCAGTTCAGTTCTAGCTCACAGGACCTAATTCATGTGTCACTCTGAGGAACTTCGGAACATGTGACCCAGGCTTAAGTACCAAGTAGAGTGGGGAAAACAAGACAGAGCTGTCGGACACATTAACTAGAACACAGAGGGAAGTAACATTGTGCAAAGTAGGATGGATAGTAAGTGGTTTGATTTCAAAGAAGGCAGGTCTGAGAGGAAGGAGAGGAGGGAGGAGTAGCCCAGAAGAAGAAAGGTGATGATGACAAGGCACCGAGGAACGAAGGAGGCTGTGCAGTGGAGCACCGATGGCTGGGTCGGTGAGGCTGCAGGGGGAGTATGGAATACTACTGGAAAGGAGGCTGCAGAGGGTGGATGGAATACTACTGGAAAGGAGGCTGCAGGGGAGTATGGAATACTACTGGAAAGGAGGCTGCAGGGGGAGTAGGGAATACCACTGGAAAGGAGGCCGCAGGGGGAGGAGGGAATACCACTGGAAAGGAGGCCGCAGGGGGAGGAGGGAATACCACTGGAAAGGAGGCCGCAGGGGGAGGAGGGAATACCACTGGAAAGGAGGCCGCAGGGGGAGGAGGGAATACCACTGGAAAGGAGGCCGCAGGGGGAGGAGGGAATACCACTGGAAAGGAGGCCGCAGGGGGAGGAGGGAATACCACTGGAAAGGAGGCCGCAGGGGGAGGAGGGAATACCACTGGAAAGGAGGCCGCAGGGGGAGGAGGGAATACCACTGGAAAGGAGGCCGCA